TCATGCGCCACTACCTGTAATGCATAAAACTGAGTGGGTCAGGCTTGGGAGCCTGGTGAGCACATAGGGTTTTCAACCCACAATAAATAAGTTTATTAATTTCATCAATCAACAATAACCCGATTACCCGTTCCCGTTATCCTCACTTTACGTCCCTAAACACCTATCATAAGGGACCTAGCCTAAGGATCATCATCGGGACGGACACTACTGCTAAGGGGATTCCTCAGCAATAAATGTCCTAATAGGCAACCATGTGGGGGATGGAGTACACCGGTGAACACATCGTTCACAACACCTACAGGTTGCGAGCCTGCTAGTGTTCCACTGGACTGTCTAGAAGAGTCCGTGGTCGTCATCTATACTCCGCTAGATGACTGGATCAACAACAACAACATCGAGGCCTCTCATCATTTTATCACACATCACCTATTACATCTACCCATGTTTTACCCCAACATTTTCGTAGATATAAAATACATATACAGTTTAAATCATTGAAAACATGTATAACAACGTTCATCTAATAGATAGCAAGTATTCAGATAATATGCACACATAGCACGTAATTTATATAAAATACTTCATATCTATGTGTAAGTGAAAGTAACTATGCACTCACCGGAAAAGGTGGTGATTCCGAACTCAGACAGCGCTTCGCTTCTTAAAAAGAATTTTTCTTCGACGAAACCTAGTATTATTACCACTAGAGTTTAGTTTATTATTCGTCGAGACTAATTAATAGTCTAGCTATTATTATTATTATTATATAAGCGTCAAAAAAATACTTATATAACCCATAATAATAGCCCAAGTATTTATTATAAGTTCCTAATAACGTTACTATAATTAAATAAAAGTTATATTAAAAATAGCGTAGGCGTAGCTCACTTACAGCGGGTTTTATAGAAAACCGGGCTTTGCTTGGAGCAGCGTTCCCGAGCCGAAAAGCTCTTCTTCTCAGAGCCTTCGAGCACTCCGGGGCTTCCGCCTCGTGCTAGGGAGGTTCCCTAGGCTTTTCGGGGGATTTCGGGGCTAGAGAGAGGTTCTAGAGAGAGAGAGAGAGTAAAGAGAAGAAAGAATGGGAAAGGTGTGAAGAAAATGAGGGTGGGAGAGGTGGTATTTATAGGGTGAAATGTGGCTGAACTTGGTGCCACATGTCACCATCTGGTGGCAAGCCTTGGGGAGAAAGCAATGGCCAAGATTGTGCCACATCACCCATTTTCGCACAGCACACTTCCGACTTCTAAAATCCGTAACTTTCACATACGACCTCCGTTTTTGACGTTCTTTATATCCACGCGTAGGTAATAATAAGATCTACAACTTTCATTTTGACACCGTCAGCTAATTCTCGACCGATCTTAAATTTAACAGTACAAGGAGATTATACTGTTAAACGTCTGCGTAAAATTAATAACTTCTACATACGGACTCTGTTTTTGTCTGTCTTTTTACCGTTGATTTCCTATTAATGAGATCTTCAACTCTCATTTACGTTGCGTAAGCCAAAAACCGCTCGAACTAAAATTCGAGTTTCAGGCCGTGCACTGCTAAGCCGAATCTTAGAAAAATCATAACTTCTTCATACGAAGTCAGATTTGGGCGTTCTTTTTATCGATGTTCTTAGTTTAACACATTCTACGACTTTTGTTTAGATTGCTAAGGCTAAAAAGTCTTCTATCGTAAATTCACTATTTACGTCTCCCGGTGTCGTGCCGGTTTAGCCGTAAAACTTCGGCGGGCCATAACTTCTTCGTTATAGCTCGGATTTGGGCATTCTTTATATGTACGGAAACCTTGAGACATATTCTACAACTTTATGTAGAGATATCGGGATTATCTCACACTTTAATTTTGACGCTCATTTTTATTCTTTATTAATTATACATTTATAATTAAATAATAAACACATAAACACACATAATTCACATAATACTCAAATATTTCATATTTATTACTTCAAAAAGAGTTACAATAGTTGACCTAGAGCTAGGGCACGAGTTGATGTGTTCGACAGGGACGTCGAACCCTATAATGGGGGGTGAAGGTGGGTTGCACCTGATCCTACATCGGCTTGGAAGGAGAACGAAACATCTAGTTATAAGGGGTGTGGATACCTTCCTTGTCACAACGCGTTTTAAAGCCGTGAGGGCAGCAGATCCCATAAGAACTCTGCAGTTAAGCGTGCTCGGGCGGGAGTAGTACCGGGATGGGTGACCCCCTGGGAAGTCCTCGTGCCGAGTGGCCCAAAGCGGACAATATTGTGATACGTGCCAGAGGGGGGTGTTACAAATGGTATCAGAGCTAGGGCACGGGTCGATGTGTTCGACAGGGACGTCGAACCCTATAATGGGGGGTGAAGGTGGGTTGCACCTGATCCTACATCGGCTTGGAAGGAGAACGAAACATCTAGTTATAAGGGGTGTGGATACCTTCCTTGTCACAACGCGTTTTAAAGCCGTGAGGGCAGCAGATCCCATAAGAACTCTGCAGTTAAGCGTGCTCGGGCGGGAGTAGTACCGGGATGGGTGACCCCCTGGGAAGTCCTCGTGCCGAGTGGCCCAAAGCGGACAATATTGTGATACGTGCCAGAGGGGGGTGTTACAGTTGGGAAACCTGGTGAGTACATAGGGTTTTCAACTCACAATAAATAAATTTATTAACTTTATCAAACCAAACAAACCCGATTACCTGTTCCCATTATCCTCACTTTACGTCCCTAAAACATATAACACAAGAGACCTAGTCTAAGGACTTTCATCGGGGTGACAACACATGCTTCGGGGGTTCCTCAACAATTCATGTCAAATAAAGCCAACCATGTGGGGGATGGAGTACTGCTGGTAAGCACACAGTTCAAATAAACATGCAGTTCAAATAAACACCTATAAGTTGCAAGCCTGCTAGCGTTCCACTGGACTGTCTATAATAGTTCGTGGTCGTCATCTATACTCCGCTAGATGACTGGATCATCAATAACATCTATAACGAGGCCTCTCATTATTTTATTTTGTCACACAACAACTATTACATCTACCCATATTTTAACCAACACATTTTGTAGATATAAAATACATATACAGTTTAAATCATTTAAAACATGTATAAAATTGTTCATCCAGCATAGATAGAAAGTATACATATAATATGCACACACAACACGTAATTTATATAAAATACTTCATATCTATGTGTAAGTTGAAAGTAACTATGCACTCACTTTAAAAAGGTGGTGATTCCGAACTCAGACAGCGCTTCGCTTCTTAAAAATAATTTCCTTCGTTGAAACCTAGTATTATTACTACTAGAGTTTAGTATATTATTCGCCAAGACTAACTAATAGTCTAGCTATTATTACTATCATATAAACGTTAAATAATACTTATATAACCCATAATAATAGCATAAGTACTTATTATAAGTTCCTAATAACGTTACTACTATTAAATAAAAGTTATATTAAAAATAGCGTAGGCGTAACTCACTTACAACGGGTTTTATAGAAAACCGGGCTTTGCTTGGAGCAACGTTCCCGAGCCGAAAAGCTCTTTTTCTCGGAACCGTCGAGCACTCCGGGGCTTCCACCTCGTGATAGGGAGCTTCCCTAGGCTTTTCTGGGGGTTTCGGGGCTAGAAAGATGTTCTAGAGAGAGTAAAGAGAAGAAAGAATGGGAAATGTGTAAAGAAAATGAGGGTGGGAGAGGTTCTATTTATAGGGTGAAAAATAGTTGAACTTAGTGCCACATGTCACCATCTAGTGGCAAGACTTGGGGAGAAAGCAATGACAAAGATTGTGCCACATGTCACCATCCGTAACTTTCACATACGACCTCCGTTTTTATGTTCTTTATATCCACGTGTAGGTAAAATTAAGATCTACAACTTTCATTTTGACTCCGTCAGCTAATTCTCGACCGATCTTAAATTTAACAGTACGATGAGAATATACTGTTAAATGTCCGCGTAAACTTCATAACTTCTACATACGGACTCCGTTTTTGTCTGTCTTTTTACCGATGAGTTCCTATTAATGAGATCTTCAACTTTCATTTAGATTGTGTAGGCCAAAAACCGTTCGAACTAAAATTTGAGTTTCAGGTCGTGCACTGCTATGTCAAATGTTAAAAAATTCATAACTTCCTCATATGAAGTCCGATTTAGGCGTTCTTTTTATGGACGCTCTCAGTTTAACATATTCTATGACTTTTGTTTAAATTACTAAGGCTAAAAAATAATCTATCGTAAATTCACTATTTACGTCTTCCGGTGTCGTGCCGGTTTTGCCGAAAAACTTCAACGGACCATAACTTCTTCGTTATAACTCGGATTTCAACGTTCTTTATATGTACGGAACCATTGAGATGTATTTTACAACTTAGTTAAGATTATTTATTCTAAATAATCTTTTGTCAAAAAATCGTTTTGGACCCCTATTATCTCTAAATTGACTAACCAGGATTTGCGGGTGTTACATGCACAAATACAGAGTTATGAGATAATCCAAGGGATCAAATCAAATTGCAGGACTAATCTAACTCATAAACACATAATACTTTTACTGTGTTATGTGTTATTGGAGATAGTTTGAATGCAAAGAGACATAAATCTATTTTTGGGTAATCAACTTGTTTCTAACCTCTGCATGTAATGTTCATCTTCCTTATTTAAATAGTGGTTATGAGACCATATTGATTCTTTCCCTTGGATCATGTTAGGGGTGCTGTCATTTGAAACCCTGTATATGGGATGCGATGTTGTCCTGACCCCCCATATTTCCTAATCCACATTTATCGCTCATTGTATGCATGCAGTTTACGCCTCCAATTTTGATGAGTAAATTGAATTCAATTTGTCTTGATATTAACATTAACTATACTAAAATATGTAAATAACTCTAAAATTACCAACGTTGTATTGTATATTTACTTGTTTCTTAAATTATTTTACTAATATTATTTTTAAACAACTTGAATTTTCTAACCTTCTTTTTTTTTTGGTAGTTGGGTTTCTATTTTTCAACACCCTCTAGTCTCACATTCCACTCAACCTGGGCATCATCATCCCTATAAAAACCGAGTCTAGTGCGATGCGAGTGCATTTGCGCTCGTTTTCTCCGCGTTTCATCACTAATTACTGCTACTTCTCAACTACTATTCAGCTCACTACGACATCCATGTCTTACCGCCCTAATGCTCAAGGCGGCCGTCGCGGTGGCGGTCGCGGAGGAGGTCGAGGAGGTGGTCGCCGTGGTGGCGGCGGTGGAGGTGGAAGAGGTGAACAGAGATGGTGGGACCCTGTTTGGCGTGCTGAGCGGCTTAGACAGACGCAAAGCGAGGTTGAATTCATTTATGTTTTTGTTTCCGTTTTACAGATGAACTTGATCTCGTTGCTAGGGTTTTACATTTTGAATGAATCATCAACAGCTACTAATTTCAAAATATCTATAAATACATGCTTCTGATGATAGAATGATGATATGATGATTGTTAGGTTGAGGCTTTTGATAAGGACCACTGGTGGGGAAAAATGGAGCAAATGAAGAGTGGGGGAGATGTAGAGTTGATAATAAAACATTTCTTCAGTCGAGGCGATCAACAAACCCTCTCTGATATGGCATATCAGCTGGGACTTTATTTGTAAGTACTGCAATTATTTGTATGAATCGTTTAGTAATTAACCTTGTTCTCAAAACAACCAAATATCTCCATTTTAATCCACATTCTACCTTACATTACTGTTATCGTATTTTCTTTGTGCAAAGAAAGTCATGCATACAATAAAGGCAATACACTTGTGGTGAGCAAAGTTCCATTACCAAACTACCGTGCAGATCTTGATGAGCGCCATGGATCTTCACAGAAAGAGGTACTACAACTACAACTACAAGCTAGTCTTTGTATACATTTTGACCTCATTCTTATTTATGCCAAATCTATTTTATAGATACATATGTCTACAGAAACCGAGAGAAGAGTTGAGAATCTATTGGATAGTTCAACAGCAACGGAAAAAGTTAACAACTCTTCTACCACATCCATTCAAACTTCCAAACAATCACCCTATGAATCAGATAAAACTACTGGAATCTCAGATAATGCTAAGAAGGCACTTAGCATTGAACTCAAAGAAAGACAGGAAAGACAGAAGGAATCTGATCGTGTTAAGGCAATGTGCTTATTCAGAGAGAAGCTTCCTGCACATAACATGAAATCTGAGTTTCTAAAAGCTGTTGCAGAAAACCAGGTTTTAGTGGTTTCAGGGGAAACAGGTTGTGGTAAAACCACACAGCTTCCTCAGTTCATTTTAGAGGAAGAAATATCATCTCTACGTGGCTCTGAGTGCAATATTATCTGCACCCAACCCCGCCGTATCTCCGCCATATCAGTAGCTGCTCGAATAGCCAATGAGAGAGGAGAAAACCTTGGTCAATCTGTTGGTTATCAAATTCGCCTAGAGTCAAATCGCTCTGAACAAACAAAATTATTATTCTGCACAACAGGAGTCTTGCTTCGAAAACTGGTACTCTGATTCTTTTCACATTTTCCTTGAATTTAATAACATAAATTGTACATTTTAAATTTCATCAACTAATATAGTGTCTTCTCTGTAATGCTGATTTGTAGGTTCAAGATCCAAACCTAACAGGAATCAGCCATTTGTTAGTTGATGAAATTCACGAAAGAGGAATGAATGAAGATTTTTTGTTAATTATTTTACGCGATCTTCTCCCTCAACGTCCAGATTTACGCCTTATATTAATGAGTGCTACTATTAATGCTGACTTGTTCTCCAAATACTTTGGAAATTCCCCAACAATTCATATCCCAGTATTACTTCTTCTCATCTTCTTGAATATTTACCCTTCAACATTTACTTAAACATGACCTTATCACATTAATCAAATCATTCTATTACATTACAGGGATTGACTTTTCCTGTGCAAGAACTATTTTTAGAAGACGTTTTAGAGAAAACCCGTTATGTAGTAAAATCTGAGGCTGATAATGTTCAGGGTTTTTCAAGGAGAAGGAGGAGACAACAAGAGTCCAAAACTGATCCCATTACTGAGAAATTTGAGGCATGATTATATTTTGATGAACCATTTAGTGTTTATGATTGATTCAGTGGTATAGAGCATTAGAGCTTATTGAACTTGGTTTTGGTGTTGTAGGAAGCGGATATCAATTCTGTATACAAAAGCTACAGTGCAAACACTAGACAATCTCTTGAAGCTTGGAGTGGTTCAGAAACAGACTTGGGTTTAGTGGAAGCAACAATTGAGTATATCTGTAGACACGAAGGTCCAGGGGCAATTCTGGTATTTCTCACAGGTTGGGATGAAATCTCAAAGCTTCTCGACAATGTCAAGGCTAACAATTTTCTTAATAATCCCACAAAGTTTCTTGTCCTCCCTCTTCATGGTTCTATGCCTACCATTAACCAACGTGAAATCTTTGACAAACCTCCTTCTGGAACAAGGTACTTCTTTGACTGTTTGACTTTTCCTACTATTTTAATCAATTCATATTGTAAGAAATTGTTTTTTTTTTTTTTTTTTTGCAGAAAAGTTGTTTTAGCAACGAATATTGCTGAGAGTAGTATAACTATAGATGATGTGGTTTATGTTGTGGATTGTGGAAAAGCAAAAGAGACAAGTTATGATGCTTTAAATAAGCTTGCGTGTTTGCTTCCATCATGGATATCAAAAGCTTCATCACATCAGGTAGGAAAATTTTATTAAATGTTACATTTTTGGTCCTTGAATATAGCAGGGACCAAATATGTAATTTTATGGGTTGCTGATGTCATGTTTGGGTGGTGATGACTCATGACAGAGACGTGGGCGGGCGGGTCGTGTACAGCCTGGCGTATGTTACAGATTGTACCCAAAAATGGTGCATGATTCCATGCTTCAATATCAACTACCTGAAATTCTTAGAACACCATTGCAAGAGCTTTGTTTACAGATAAAAAGTCTGCAACTTGGAGCTGTTGGATGTTTTTTGGCTAAGGCACTTCAGCCACCTGATGCGCTTTCTGTTCAAAATGCTGTTGAACTTTTGAAGACGATTGGGGCTTTAGATGATAGAGAAGAGCTCACGCCACTTGGACGCCACCTGTGCACTCTGCCTTTAGAGCCGAATATTGGGAAGATGCTTCTCATGGGGTCCATTTTTCAATGTGTTAATCCTGCTTTAACAATTGCTGCTGCTCTTGCTTATCGGAGCCCGTTTATTCTTCCGATTAATAGGAAAGAGGAAGCTGATGAAGCAAAAAGATCCTTTGCTGGTGATTCATGCAGGTATTTTTTTTTATTTTTTTTTAATCATCACCGGTAAAAATGATGATTTGACCCCTTTTTCCTGCTTTACCGTTTCACTACTGACATGGTTCCATTAAAGTCCTATTATTTTACCATAATTACGAATAAGTCCCAAACTAAAATTAAGTGATGATTTGACCCTTTTCTCCTTGTAACATATATTTTACCGGTTTTATTAAGACTTTTCTGAAGATTTCTCTATACTATATGTAGTATTATAGTTATATACTAAGTATTGTATAAAATAGTGATACTAATTAGGAAGATAAAGGGGGGTTAATATGTAAATAGTTTAATAATATATGTATAAAAATAAAATATGGTCAAACAGTGAGGAAATAACTAATACCTAATAAATATTAAGATACATAATGTATATTAAATAGAGACAGGTGTTGGAGCAAAAATAAATAAAAGAAACACATTCTAGATATCATATACAAGTATGCAACTATTAGATATAAAAATATTTGCAGAAGAATATTGACTAAGAATACTAGATTAGGTCAAACTACTAAATATTATATTCTAAATAAAAAACCCTATTAAATCGTAATACCTACTAAATCTTATAACCTAAATACATCATGGATATTAAAATACTTGCTAGGTAGTCTTGACAAGAAAACAATAATAATAAATAAACAATTAAGGATAAATAATGAGAATAGCTGGGCAACAATAATCATCTGACACTTTGAGAGTTGACAAACACAAATATTCTAATCATGTCCAACACTAAAAACACACAAATCCTTACATCACAAAACGACATTGGCAATTGCCCAATTTTCATAATTCATTTTTTTTTTTCATCCATTATATTAAACTAATTATTCATGCAGTGACCACATAGCTCTTCTTAAAGCATTCGAAGGGTGGAAAGAAGCAAAACGTTCCGGAAACGAAAAATCCTTCTGTTGGGAAAACTTCTTGTCAGTTCAAACCTTAAAAATGATAGCTGACATGCGTCTCCAATTTCTCGACCTCCTTTCCGATATCGGCTTCATAGATAAATCCAAGGGCGCAAATGTAAATTCCCATCATCATCATCATCATCATCATCATTTTCACTCATTCCAACTAAAACCTAATCTAATTTATAATGTCCATTAATTTCTCAGGCATATAACCAATATAGCGATGACATGGAAATGGTGTGTGCGATCCTATGTGCTGGGTTGTACCCGAATGTAGTCCAATGTAAAAGAAGAGGAAAGCGAACAGCTCTTTACACCAAAGAAGTTGGAAAAGTCGATATTCATCCAGCTTCTGTCAACGCTGGGGTCCACATTTTTCCTCTTCCTTTCATGGTATACAGTGAAAAAGTGAAAACAAGCAGTGTGTATATTCGTGATGCCACAAATATATCGGACTATGCTTTGCTTATGTTTGGTGGTAATCTTGTTGAAACCAAAAATGGTGATGGGATTGAGATGCTCGATGGATACCTTCAGTTTTCAGCATCCAAGAGCGTGATGGGATTGATTAAGGTATCTTATACTTTGTTTTTTTTTTTCTACAACAAATTAGAGATTACCGTTTTTTTTTATTTTTAAAATTGGTATTTTGATGGAATGTTGCAGAAATTACGAGGCGAAGTTGATAGGTTATTGAACAGGAAGATTGAAGATCCGAAATTGGATGTTAATGTTGAAGGGAAAGGAGTTGTTGCTGCTCTTGTTGAGTTGTTGCATAACCAAAATGTTCGCTATTAATTATTAAGCGAGCATTGTTTTTGTTTTCACAGAGTTTCCATTCCTTTCTAGATATCATCATATACCCAACCAACTTTGACAGTGACACCAACTCGTTTGTTCTTTCCAACTGTAACTTTTATTTAAATCTTACAATTGACGTTTAAAAATAATATATTTTAAACCCAATTGGATTGATCTTAATCGGACCCATTCTCATTTCTCAATCTCAACACCGGTTTAGACTCGAGACCCATTACTGCTCCTAATAAATAACCAAGGTGGGACAAACTCAAGTTGGACCGCTCACTATTAACTAGTAAATAGTAGCGCTACCCATACCATGGGCCATGGCTTCGACCGGTTCTCATTTCTCAATGCTGAAATTTAAAAGTTTCTGTACAAAACCGACATTTAAAAAAATGTGTATATCACAATTCAAATATATCCATGGTTAATCAACATACCTATACGATTAGTTTTTATTATCAATCAAATCATGGATTACTATCATCTTCAACTTGGTTTCATACTTTTGTTTGTCTTGTCTCTTGATAATATTTTTTGTTGTTGCATTGTAAGTTTGGAAGAGGGCAATAGCATATATTTTGCATAGAAATTGTAGTTTATAAGCTAGTTTTTTAAAACTATTCGGTGTAGCTTTTTAATTAAAACTTTCTAAAATTCTCTTATACATAACTTTAATTAATTATAATAAACATATTTTTCTACATGCCTTTATATATTATTTTATATTTTTCAGTTAGTTTATTGGCTATCAACTAGCCAAACATAACTTAATTCTGCAACTTTTATCTACTATGTGACTTGAACCTTTAAGTATTTGCAGTATGGGAAGTGACATTTTTAATATAATTGATACATCAGACCAAAAGCTTTTTGATGTTCAAGTTTATAGCAGTGTAGTCCATTTCTTAAATTAATTTTTTATTTTTTAAAAAAAAGAGAATTAAAATCAATAGATTGTGTTGATAAGTTTAGAGACTAATGATAAACAGCATTTAGTATGTTCAACAAGAAACAATAAAATTATAAAAAGATGTGAAGTATAGAAGAGGTAGTCCAAAGGCCGAGTCCAATTCAGCCTGACCTTATTCTTTCATAATTTCATGATTTCATCTACCATTTGAATTTTTGACCAAATCGATATTCAAATATTGTGGATTTTCTAAGATGACAAAAGTTCGATTATTTTATTAAAAAATATATATTTGTTCCAGAATTTCGTCTTCCCATAATTTATTTAAGGCCTACATGGATGCTACATTTAACTACCCTCTTTTTGTTTTCTTTATTAATACATATTAATTAAATAAATATTTGATAATACTTCCGGTGGGTGCTGGCTAGTATTGAGTATTTGACCCAATCAAATCCAACCGGAGCGAAAAAAAAAAAAAAAGAACCTGATCCGAACCATGGTATTCAATCCGGTTCGAGTTGGGTCTGAAACTGAACACATTAATAAAGAGCACATTTACTTGTTGAACCGAACTAGAACTGGGATGTTCGGTCCAGTTCCCGGTTCTCCATTTCCCATTAAATGGATTCTCAGTTCTTGGTACGGTTCGGTCCGGGTTCGGATCCATGCTCATCCCTCGTGTTGTGGCTATATCATATTATCATTATTATGTCATTTCATTTGCAAAGATTGCTCTATTAGGCGTTGTACTCTTCTGAAATTAAAGAAAACATTACCCACCCCCTTGGAAGCACCTTTATAATTTTTATTCCAATAATTTTTTGATTTTCCATTGGTTATTAGATGAGGAGTAGAGGGTGTGTGCTTAATACTTACGTCGATGTTTTCCTCAAGGGACTCATGTAAGAATAGCATATTCTTTTATTCAAGAAACGAGAAGAATGACTTAGTGTTGGTGATAGTATCCACAATACTATGATACAAGGGAGAAAGTTGTGGTAGTATATGCATGAGAAGCTCAACTTCATTTATCGGTGAATCAACGTAAGCTGGTTGATGTGTAATTGGGCAAGTGTATATGCAATTGTACAACAATATAGTTGAGATAAGACTAGGTTGTTGAACTCTTAAAGAACGAATACAAATTTAATGCAAAATATTTAAATACTAGTAAAACTAAATCAAACGAAACTAAAAATTGGATTAAAAACAAGATATTTATAGTATTTTCATTTAGATTCGATTAACCTTCTTAATTATGGTAGGTTTCCTAGAAGTGAAATAGATTTAATTTATTGTTTAACTAACCTAAGTAATTAAATATAAGGACAAGTAACACATGGTCATGTTTATAACAATCCAAATAATCAATATTAAGTCCGTATTATGTAAGACTTGATCTAGTAATTAACCTCAATCGTCATGACAATTAATTTATGCACAAAATGTTCATCTAATGTAATCTTTCTAGTCATAACATTTTAGTGGTCAATAAACCCGTATCATTCAAGTCAACACAATTAGATTAGTCATAGATTATATAAAGCTCAACAATAGGTAATAAAAATATGAACTTTAACACTCATAAGGATCTTTGGACAAGCAAACATAATAATTTAGCCAACTACTAATTCCATATATGATAACCGAACCATAAATAAGAGGTTCCTCTACATCTAAGAAAAAGTAAATGGGATTATCCCATAATCATAGAAGAAAACAGAAATAAACAATCAAAAATAGGCTAGACATGATAACTAGACAAGCTGCTTGAGATATAATGATTCCACTTTTTGATTCTTCATTCCTTGCTATAATGTTAATCTCTAGCTTCAAAATCGTCCCAGAAGGGTTTCTGGTCGTTAAAATAAGGCTATGCCTTTGCCTTGGAGGCTTGTTGATTACATTGAAGAATTAATGCTTTATATAGAATTTCTGTCGACCTATTTACGCGAGGCGTAGATGGACATGTCGCATTCTCGTAAGTTTCCATGTTTCATTCGAGCACTTTAGCCTCTAAGTGAGACATGCTTAGCTTGGATGCTAAGAAGTTGAGGTGAACATTTAGACCATACCGGTTTTATAAAAATTGGTGGATTTTAGATCGGACCTGTTGAGGCTTACCAGGTCCATGTCTGGGTATGGGTTTGATTTCGGTTCTTAGACGTAAAAGTGAACATTTGGACTGGACTGAACCGGACTGACTCTTGGACCAGACCTGTTTTGTAGAAATTGATGGACCTTGGACACAACCGATAACCCTAAGAACGATGACTTGATACCATACTGCATTGTGCAAAGACCGCTATGACATTCCATTGCTATAATTAATACAATAAGTTAACAAAAGGAATCCTATATATAGATACAAACATAAATAAAATTACAATTTCAATCACGGGCAAGTAATAGATCATAACCATTTTTATTTTTATTTTCTTGCTCTATGATTTCAAAAATAAAAAATTTCTTGTCTATGATGGGTATGAAACAATTAAATTGTAGGGTATGCAAAAAGAATTCTTCCAAACCCTAGAATGCATCTTTAGAATCTCACTTGCACTCTCCTTCGTCTTCCTTCCACAGTCTACTTGCAGCGCCAAACACAATTTTCCGACCACCCCCAACTGCAACATCTCTTGCAGAACACTTCTGTTGCCTGAGGATTTCGCCACCGAATGCAAGATGCTCACCGCCTTCTCGCTAGCCAAAGATGACACTCGAAAGATCTTCTTGGAAACCACCGCCAATCCACCTCCGTGTTTCAAAAGCTCCGATCGTCCTTCTGCGCACTGACAAAGCTGGTCTAGAACCACAATAACCATCTCCGAGACTCTCTTTTCTGTGCAATCCAGGAGGATGTCGATCAGCACCTGAACCGCCCCTGCCTCCGCCGCTTTCATCCTGTTCCGCCCCCATGGACAGACGTTGATGAGTAGCTTTAGTGTTGCTTTTGTGGCTTTCTGGGAGATTTCATCCACCAAGATTTGTACAAGCACAATGAATAAACGAGGGTTTAATGACGTCACTTTCATGGGCTCCGCCACCTCTAACATTGCTTTCAGTAACATGACGGCGTAAGCACGTGACTCGTAACTGGTGGCGCGTTCCATCACGCGCGTCAACGTCTCAACGAAATCTCCAGTCTTTCCGAACAATGATTTAAGACTCATTGGTGACAGGTGAAGGTGGTGAAGAATGCTTAGCGCTTCGTCTGTTCCAGTCGAAATAAACTCGTCGACACCGGAAACGTCTCCGGCCGTTGGTGATGACGACATCTTATTATCCATGTTGGTTAAGATCCACGCAAGGTAATCAGCTGCACCTACTGATTCCATCAACTTCTTGTTCTTTTCGTTCTCCATAACAATCGTTTTTAACCTCTTCAAACACTTCATTTGCAGGTGAGGAGACTTTGAAGAAGAATCCTTCAAGATTTTTACGATTTCGGTTTTGGAGATCGGAAGCCGTGGTGTCGGGAATGTCCCGACGCCAGACGACGGATTAAGGGTGCTCCATGACTGGATCAGTCGCAGGAGGGTGTGGTTCGGTGTGAGCTCAATATCAACGACGACTTGTTTGGTTACCGGACAAACGTCATTCTTCTGAGAAAACAACCATTTCTCGATGCTATCACGATCATATGTGATCCCTGTAGACAGAGTTACAGGGTCTTTCATGATCTCAAGCGAAATTGGACAAATAAAAAAGCGAGGAACTTGGACATCTTGTTCAAGATCAGCCATTAACGAATCAGGAATTTGAAGAATAAGTTAAAGAGATCGGAAACAATCAGTTTTTGTTGTGAAGTTGTCACGAATATCGATATGAATGATGCCAAATAGTGAAGAGAACTTGGTTTTATACGAAAAAAGATACTAAATTTACTAGAGAAAGTTTGACTTTTCAAAGAGAAGTTAGAAGCATGGGAAAAGTGTGTTTGTGCCTTTGTGGAGTGTGTGTAAGCATAGAATTTGCATTTTTAATCCTTTAACTTTAATCAATTCTAAAAATAAGTTCAAACCTTCTTCTTAGAAAAATAATCCTGCTATTTTATAGGGATGCGTAAAACAAAATAAAAACTAACGGTTTGAGTTTGAGCTTTTTAAAAACTGAAATGGTTGGGGTTTGTTTTGATTTTAGAAAATATAAAAAACCAAGAAAACCCAAATCAAACCTAATTTTATGAAATATATATATATACCTATCACATTGCCTATGAAAAATTAACTTTAAGCCAGGAGGCAAAATTTAATAGGAAACCACTTGGGTTGTGGTGACTTGGTAAGACATGTGGAAGATATAGTGGATAACCTATTGACCCATGTTCAAATCCTGACACCACTCAGCCTTTGTGGCCATGGAGGTTCGTCTGCAGTGACTCCAGGGCATGAGGCAAAGCTTTATGTTTGCAGCGGGGA